ATTATCTGAGGAGGCCTTTCGTCATATTATGTCGAAACGAACTCGGGAACAATGGTGTCTACTAGAATGCGTTTAGAAGGTTACATTGTTGAAGAATGATAGCTGCAGATCTATCACGATTCGTTGTGTTTCGATGAACTCACCAATCATCTCTCTTATTACCTATTATAGTTGATCGTGAAGCTCAACATTTCATTCACCAGGTTATTTTGCCTATTTACGTTACACTTTGGCCCCACTTCCAGACGGTATTCCAATCGAGCCTAAGCGAAAAGAGGAGAACTCTCTCATTGCCGAAACACCAAAACCCAATACAAAATAGGCTTTATTGGAAAGGCAGCACTTGCTTACCTTAGGCTCAAGCCCCAGCCTTAACATCTCACTCATCTCGGGATATAGGTCTTTTGAAGAGTCATCAAGGCGATCTCCTCAGTAAACGGCTCCGGCTGATGATCGGATTTTGGAAACAAGATCCCATCCCTGTCTTTAAGCAACCGTCCAAGTGCAAGCAAATGTGACCCAAAGAGTACCAAGCCTGGTAAGCGAAAAACAAGAAGAGCGAGAACAACCTCAACACTCTTTGTACTATCGTTATAGTGATAGGCTGGTTTTATCTCGATGGTATGTAAGATACAGTGAAGAGCCTCATCAATAATGACAAACACCAGTGCCTTGAATAAAACCCAGCTGCGTCCACGAGAGAAAATGAGTTTTATCGAATATGCTTGCAGTGAAATCTGGAGTTAGTAAAGTTCAAGTTTTGACCTCGTGAACAGTATACATACATCGACTAGGTGAATGAGGAAAGTTGCCATAAGAAACTTACTATCTTTTGGGAGGTTAGAAAGAAGCATAACAGACTTGAAAGTGTGATACACAACCACATACATCACCAAAAAAACTTCAGAAGCCGTGGCGTTTTCCACAATAACTTTCATTGATCTTTCGGTGGTAGGGCCTTTTTTTAGAACCTTATTGTTACCGTGATTTGGAGCGTCTTCGATGCTTCTATCAATTTCGGTCTGTACTAGATTCATATCCATGGTGGTTTTTTGTGAGCAAACGGATACGAGATACTGTACCGTTAAAGTAAGTGAACTGGTTTTTAAATTTCTTTCTAGAGTTGCCTTCCCGAGAACTCATGACTTCTGGGGATATATTCAGTGTATCTAGTTCACCTACCCAAAATGGCATCTACTGGAGGCGAGTTATACAGAGAATTTCATTTCGGGAATTAGAGAAATGGAAAACTGAGGCAAGTCCAGACTACATTTTGTTCATTATGGCAACAGTAAGTGAAGTATTCAAAAATCCAAATTGTCTCAATTTTCAGATTTCTTCACTATTGATTGAAGCGAGTTAATCGCTATTTTGAATACCATGAGGTTATTCTTTATTTACAGAATGATCACTTTATTAAGACGGCTTGTTTGTGAACCACATTCAATGCCTCGGTATCTATCGCTTTCGTCATCTTGGTAAGACCCCATAAACAAGAAACCAGTCCCTACAACCACAACTTTTTTCTCCCAATTCTTCTTATTACCAAAACTACCAAAAAACTTTCATCATCGCAATCCCCCATAGCCGCGGTCTGTTATCACCAGCCAAGACCGCCAAGGCCTTCTATACTTCGGAGTCAAACCGCACTATTTGCACCCATACGTCTAGGGTCCACCAAAATCGCCAAAAACGGTCGAAATTCGCCGGGAAAACTTGGATTCCTAATAAAGCCACCACAAATAATACAAAAATCTAACTTTATAGTCGCCCACTCCCACGGCGCCCGAAATCAACACAACCCTGCCTTCTCAAAATGCTCGGTTCCGTCTGGCCTGGACACCTCTGCACCCGTGCACCACGATCACTTGCTATATCTTATCCGAGATCACCTTGACTTCCCACTACAAAATGGTCAAAGCTATCATCGCCCCCTCGATCCTTGCGTCCGATTTCGCCAACTTGGGGTGCAATTGCCACAAGATGTACGACTCTGGCGCCGACTGGCTCCACATTGACGTCATGGACGGCCACTTTGTGCCCAACATTTCGTTAGGTCCTCCGATTGTGAGTTCGTTGAGGAAGGAGTTCCCCAGAAAGGCCGAAAAGACGTTTTTCGACTGCCACATGATGGTTTCCGAGCCGGAGAAGTGGGTGCCGGAGATTGCCAAGGCTGGCGGAGACCAGTACACTTTCCATTATGAGTCCACCAAGGACCCCAAGGGTCTTATCAAGTTGATCAAGGAACACGGCATGAAACCTGCCTGTGCGGTGAAGCCAGGCACGGAGGTGGATGTTTTGTATGAGCTTGGTGACGAGTTGCATATGGCGTTGATCATGACGGTGGAGCCTGGTTTCGGTGGTCAGAAGTTCATGCCCAACATGATGGCCAAGGTGGACGCCTTGAGAGAGAAGTTCCCACAATTGAACATTCAGGTTGACGGTGGTTTGGGCAGAGAGACCGTGGTGCCTGCAGCCGAGGCCGGTGCCAATGTCATTGTTGCTGGTACGTCGTGCTTTACGGCTCCGGATCCAGTGGAGCTTATTGACTTTATGAGGGAGACGGTGAACAAGAGCTTGAAGGCGAGGGGCGTGTACTCGTGATGCCCTTAGGTGGGTATTCCAGGGAAAAGTAGAGGTATAGGTAAGGGAGGACCCTGCAATGGCATGAACAGCGGAGGCGGAGAAGCCCGTAGAGGGCTTCGCGTTTTGTAGAAGGTGATGAGGATTTGCTCTTGAAGGAGGAAATCAAGTTTTCCTTAATATTACACTGGATAGACTAGCAGATATCAAGGGATCAGTACCCTTAGATGATTCTACAAGTAAGAGAACAATAGTATCACTTGAAACCAGTGACAGTGCTCCACAGTTAGCCACTATGATCCAACATTTCACCAATCTTCATGTATTTCAAAATCGTCTGCTGATTAGTGAAAAATAGGCCATCCGCTGAATAGTGAAAAATTCATCTCTATCACCTACGTCCATTTCCGTATTCTATGCATTGCCTATACAGCAGGGCCCCCGGCCCGTTGCGTAAAACCAAACGTCAAACTCAAACGCCTATGCCACTCAGAAAGCCTGAACTCCAATGGTGGTGCCCTCACCACTCACATTCAAGTTCATACCCACAGCATCGGTATCTTCAACAACCGCCCAGAGGGCCTTCTTGACCTTGTCCAACTGGGTGGGCTCCTTCTCGTGCTTGTTCTTTTTGACGCCGTCCATGTCAATATCCATCTCTCTCTTGGCCTCAAGATCAATGTTCAACTGCTCGTTTCTCTTAGCAATGTATCTGCTGTTTCTCTCGAGCTTTCTGGCTCTTTTGTTACTGAGCGTGTTGGTGGTGACGCCGCTGGCAGGAAGAGGCATGCTGCCGTTGTACAAGGCCACAGCCTTGGAATCAGAAGGTCTAGGGACGGTTTCTGTGTTGAATCTGCCATGAGAAGATCTGGTAGGGAGGATGCTGGCGGCACGTGCAGCTCTCTTCTTGCCGAGCTGCTGGGCGTGGTGGGCCCTGTGGATTTTGTTTTTTGGTTTGTTGACCAGGTTTCTAGAAGGCATGGGTGGTTGGTTATCTTTGAAGAAATCAGATAGAGATGCGATGCGATGGGTGCAAAAATGTCCTGCGCAGGAAAAAAAATCTCCCGGGGGTGAGTCGAACACCCGATCTCAAGATTACAATCACATTACAGTCTCGCGCCTTAGCCAGCTTGGCCACCGAGAGGATTTCGGAATGGAAGTGGTTTTGGATGACTATATTCATTAGTGGTCGTGCGGAACACAAACCTTGAAAATGCTGTATTTTTGCCGTTTTTTTTGTCTTTTGAAGTAGGGTAGAGCTATATTCTGATAGGTGGGGTATGTAGAGAGTTATATACGGGCTTCATTGTTTAAATAGCTCCCCAGGTTGTGCTTTGAATCTACTCAAGACTGTCAGGTCCTAAACTCCACTACAACATACTATTCATTGCAACGTAATACATTGGGCAAATGGTCCAGGCTACGCAAACTGATAAGCTACAAATTCAGAAGTGATATCCTTGCAGATGAACGTACTCCGAGGATATATTTCTTAATATTATCTACAATATCTGAAGATTAGACATCGATCAACATGAGTTCGATGATACAAAGGGAGGCTTTTCGCCAGCTTCCTTCTGGAAGGGGTTTAAATTCTCAAGCTTATTTAGAAGCCAAGTGTGAGAATAAGATCTTATTGGAGGTTGTTTCTACAGAGATATGGTTTTTACTCTGTTGAAGAGAAATCAGTAAAAAAAAATAAAAGAAGCAAACATGATGAAAACAATTTGCAGATTCATCGGCGTTTTCGATTTATTATCTAAATTGCACGCAAGGGGACATGTCCAACTTTCCTCATTTAATACTGATGGTCATTCAGTGCTCGACATTCCAGCAATGAAACAGCTAGGCAGTCAGTACAATAGCTATAAATCACTTCGAATGAAGTTCTTATTTGCCTCGACCGAATAGTTACGGACTAACACCTTTTTTTGATGAAGTTTCCTAATGGCATAGCTGAGTCCCATGTTGAAGCCCCGCGAGAGAAGTTGACCACGATCTTCCAGATTCGGAACCTTGGAACGAATTTTTCACGTCAGGTAGATTCCATAGTGGAGGCTGTGGACAAGCAGGCCTTTTCTTATCGGACATTGGGCTTATTGTTCAAAGGCGAGCATCATCAAGTTACAGAGTTTGTCGTGAAAAACGTAGAGCTGGCTAAAGACCCTGACCTGAAAATCCATATTGAAAAAGCACGAATGAGGAACGGTGTTACCAGCTTTGGGGCAGGACCGGATTTTGGAAATCCCATGCTTGTTTTTGAAGTACTCCATTCGTACCACACATTCGACTGGTCGAAGCTTGAAATGCCGATGCCAATAGTAGGGAGGTGCCTCATAGCTATCGGAGAAGAGAGGTACCTATTCTCAGGCCCAAAATTCCCAATGTCTCATCAACTTCATGGGTTTGGATCCGAAATGGACATGGGCACAAGTCATAACATCGCAGGAAGCGGTAGAAGACTTGTTTTCAGCGCCGAATTTAAGCAGGCTTCATGGATTAACCATGAGGCATACTTTCGAATTGTGGTTCCAGGGATGTACGTACCGAGCTTCCTTCCGTTGAGCTTACAAATTCTAAGCAAACGGAGTTCGGATAAAGTGCTCAAAGAGCCATTCCACTTGACGAATATCCGTGTTGAGTTGGTGGAATTTAGCTGCGTACCAAGCAAATATACTGAAGCGACAGACATCCGGAGTATGGTGTTAATTGAGAAGGAAACGTCCATGGAGATCAATTCTTTAAACAGCAAGATCTTGATACCTTCGGCAATGTATGGCTGTACGATTCCACAGATTGGTCCTACGTTCTTCATTGGGGGGTTCACTAGAACATATGGATTGAAAGTCACGTTATCGATTTGCAGTAAAAGAGATGCCCGTTTCAATGTGTCTGCATTTATCGAACTTCACGTTGCGCAGGCAAGGCATGAACGAATCGACGCCAAGGACGTTGATAAACTTCTTTTGCACTTTGTAGGGTGTAACGAGGACGAGGATACCAGAGGCCAGCATCTTTTCATGAAAAGTTTACAAGATTTCGAGTCGAATGGTGCTTGTTTGTCATCCTTCAGCCGTGACTATGGTTCGCAGAATGCAACTGATAAATTTCAACGATACTTCTTTCTGATGCATCAACAAGGTGGAAAAGGATGTTTTATATTCTCAGTCGATAGAATGACAGATACGTCATTGACTCGCAGTACCAGCAGCTGTGTAAAAGAAACCAGTTTCAGCCAGAGTGCATTGTCGAAGATACAAAATTGGCTCAGATGCCAAAATTCAAGAACAAACAAGAAGTGTGTTTGCCCTAGCTGGGAGACCAGGGTGCTTGATCTGCCTACTTTTGGGACTGGCACGGGCTTCGACAAGCCACACTCTGCCACATGTATAGTGGTTGATGGTCATGTCATTGAAGCAAACTCGCCGCAACCTTTCTTACGAGCCAAGACTCTGTTCCCTTACCCGTCGTATCCTATTGGCGAAGAGAAGATTCCACTTTCGATCCGGGTTTCATTAGATGAGAACACGCAGTTCTACAATTCAAGGGAAGGATCTTATATCGGCATCGCTAGTCCGGGAATGGAGCTTAACAAATTTATCCAATGTACATTTATTGTTGCCCAGGGCTTCAAGGAAGCAAGCCAATTTCGACAAGTGGATGACGTGGAAATTTGTCTTGAACAGATCTATATCACATTAAAGGAGCTGAAGCTCGAGAAAGGTCAAATCTCCTCAAAAAGAGTAACCTTGCTTGATGATCGCAAATCAAGGTTTCTCATAAGATGGAGTGAGTTTCAAGATGCAGTTGCTGGCAGTGAACGTGCTCGTGCAATGACGTTACCTCCACATTTATTCCAATGCAAGATTCCAAATCACATGAAGCCCTTCGTCATTTGTACTAAGAAGTCCTTTGCACGGACCCATCTTTTGAATTGCAGTTTGCTTGTCTACCTTCTGGGTCGAAGATATACCTTCGAGTGGTGTAACAACCTTCACCTCATGAAACGAGATACAGTCGGGCATTGATAAAATCACTATTCGTGCAATGAAATTGTATGTTTGCAATAAGGAGTTGTGTTCTAAACTTTAAAGGAGTATCAGGTTTGAAGAATGAGGGATGTAGCCCAATCGGTGTATCGTTCATGAGCATTGGTGTTCTTTGCCTCAATGAAGGTGCATATATCAAACAGTAGTTGCTAGAAGACGGAAGGAGATCCTAGAGTTTAGGTTCAAAAGGGCAGGGAAAAGGAGCGGACTTCTTAGTGGTTCACCAAAATAGCCTCACCCAAGATCTATGTATTTTTGACGACCATCTTGGTCCAGCTTACGCCTCCCGTTTGGGAAAGAAGTTTCTCTTCACCAGGCACTTATTTGGCTCAAGTATCTCATTCATTGGGACCTTGCCAGAAAGGTTCAACGGCTAGTGTTGACAGAGTAGGTCCGCTGCTTTGTGTAGGGCTCAATGGATTGGCCCTTGGGGGTCTTCCCTGGATGTATGAATACTTTGGACACTTCTCAGGCTCCAATGATTGTTTCTAAAGCAAAAGGATCGTTTATGGTGCTCTCTTCACCTTCGGTGGTTCTGTGAGCCACTCGCGAAATGGTTGCAAAACCACTTAGACCTACTTCCTACCATAGGCACAAAGTCAATTTTTGACAATTAGGAGTTTTAAATCGAGTTTTTGCTTTTAATTGTTGAAAATTGACAACAGCCGAACCTATTAGAGCAACTAGAAAGCCTCTCAAGCGCTATAACCAATTCCTTGCAAGTCCTTTTGTTTGTGAAGCACTTAAAGAGTCGAATGAGCCAGCTGCCAAACGTACGGTTCGAAGACTCAGGGCTGACAGAACTTCATCTGAGTCATTTGGATCAAATAGAACTTACGGATCTCCTGGAACACCCTTCGCAAGAAGGAGCATTACTGCTGCCAACTCATGGCAGCGGCGGAGCCCCACCGACTAGACAAACAGGACATTGTCCCCCAAGTGTCGGTGACAATCCAATTGGGGGTAATAACGGTACATTACCTCTGGTGCCTACGACGGACAACTCCCTCCCAAATCAAGAAACGAGTAATGAGGGGAGAAATACAAATGAAAACGATCTTGCGATCAATAATCCCCAGCCTTACGATGAGGAGATCTATTTATTTATTCTCCAAAGCGATGATCCCGTTTGGGATTATTTATACTGCCGCATCAGAAGGCTTGAAGAGAAAAGGGGCAACATGACTGCCATGGAAGTCAGTGAACTTCATTTCTTGCGAAACATGGATGCAGACTTACGGTGGGGGAGGTTTCTTGGTGGCGAAATCCCAGGTCGGATTTTCTTACGTTCTCAGTTCTACCGAGACATTCTTGACCCAAGAATTAGTGCCTTGATCTCCAGATCTTGGTCTGAGGACGAGGTGCTTCAACACGACGATCCTGTCAAATTTTATTTGATATGGAGATCAAAGAAGCAGTTGCGAGAGGAACGTTGGGCTGAACATTGGGATTTGGATCCAAATGCCATTGTCCAAATTCCGGAACTTGACGAGATTATTCGCAACTTACCGGTTCTCGAGACTTCAAGGTCCTTGAAGAAAAACACCAAGGCTTACCAATGTTGCAACCAACTTCTAACGAACCTTCGTGAGTCTGATGAAGTACTTTATGAGCCAGAAATCAGGTATCTCAAAAAGTTGTTGGGAAAGTTTGAGCCCTCTCGTTTGTGGAGTCTAATTCCTCCCATTGCCCTTGCCGGTAACGCAATCTGTTTCTTTGTTTCAATCGCGGAGAATAAACCAGTTGCAGAAGGACACTTCTGTTAGTCCAATTCAACCATTTCAACCAGTTCAACCCTTGCAACGCTCTTCTTGGCAGGCTCCACTATACTGTTGTGCAGAAGTATCGATATTATTTCTGGAAGACAAAGGGCTGAACACTGGTCACAGTATGCTCTTTTGGGCCTCGCAAGCACAGCTGGGTATATATCCTTCGGACTTAGGAGGAACTGTTAAAGTGAAACTTGTCAGTATATTGCATTGGGGGCTGATGTTGTGCTGCAAGTGGCCCTATCCATTTACTATTATCGACCTTACGCTTCCGCTCATCCAGAGTGAGTTCCGTGTTTTCCGCCTGCTTGACTTTTGTTGTTTCGGATCTCGGACGGTGATTGCCATGCGTCGTCAACAAGTCCCTCCTTGTTGCACAAGTAGAGAACCGGTGTTTTTGCGAGAAACTGCTGCATATCTTATAGACTAATACATTTCGCTAAGAAAGAAAGATCTAACACCTTTAAGAGGTCTTCTACCTTCAACAGACGCTACATTCTACAAGAAAAGGTCACTTTGTCGGTCAGAACGACACATATGACATGGTCTACCTCATTATGTTCCTCAATATGGAATGACTTAATTAGCATGCAAATACTCTTCCTAAAAGCTCAAATGACTGCACAGCTGTATCTAGTACGACAACGTCTTACACAAATTCGGAAAGGCTTTTGTCAAACATTCGAACAATGCTTCCAAATCTTGGAAACTTCTTATTGAAAACCACCTAGATCTCCAAAACCTCAAACAACACTCATAAAAATCACTTCAATTGTTTTTCCGAAATCTCCTACAGAATTGACTAACAACAAAACAGTATCTAATATGCTCAAAACTTGTATCATTTGGTGTTCTCAAATGAGAAGGACGCAGTTCAAAGGCCATGTCAAAAGAGCTGAACAATTTCTATCGATTGAATCATTTGCTTCAACAATTATCCGTTTCTGTTCATCGAAATCCCGCTGGACTGACTATACGCCTGCTTCTTCCACCCACAAAGGGTATTAATATACCAGGCCAACTGTATCTGGTTGTTTCCTTCCCAAAAGAAGCAAACCCTAGATCCTGAAGCTCATGCCTACAATTGGGTATTTCTTGTCCAAAAACCACAAGCACCGTTCTGAACCACCTCCCTCCTAGCCTCCATACTCACCCACTCTACAACCCTCGTTGCCTATTTCCACCACCCCCGCAATCAGCAGATGACACATTTCGAAGGTCGGAACAATGGAGAACGATGGGTCTGAAGAGCCGCCCGAGAACGCTAGATATTCGGCTTTTGCACGGATTCCGTGCGATTTTCCCATTTCCCATTGCATTCTCACCGGAGACTCATGAGCCCTGCTTTTTCATTCAACACACCAATTGCAAAGAACCAATTGCAATAAAAAACCAAAAATCAAAAACCACCTGGTTTGACTTCTCCTTCTCCGCTGGACGGGGAGAAGCCCCTCCCACGTGCCCAAACCGTCCAAAACCCGTCCGGATCCGTATTGTCCAATCACCCAGGACCCGTATTCTTCAGCCTTGCCCGCTTAAGCCTTTCGCTTCCTCAGGGCCGTGGCGATGGTACGGCTTGAGGAGGCTTGAACGGGGGAATTTTTGGATTGTGTAGTTTTGAGAATAAGAAAAGGAGAGCAAAACACGCTACAAAAATAGACCTGCCAGGGGTAAGACTAGAGATCTGGATTTACGAGGTTTACGCAGAGGCGCAATTGGCGAATGGACTCACAAAGAGCAGGGCTCGTATATTGGAGGGTCGATTCTCGCGCTTATGCGTGGAAGGCCCCTACCCTGGACCCCTAGTGGTCCATGGAAAAGGTCTCTTTAATATGATTGATGAACAATTAAAAGTCAATTATAAAAAGTTCAATTCTATGGGAGCAATTCAAATTGAATTTCCAAAATCGTATTGTCTTGGGCACGGCGGGGCTGAAGGATCCTCACTCTGAGTGTTCAGGAACGGCGTGAACTTCGCACCATAAGCGTCTTTGCATTCTTCCTTGCAGCGTGTCAAAACGCCGAACCCACCCACTATCGAGCTTTCCAAAAAGGACTCTATTTTTCCAGCTTCTAAAAAAAAGCTAACTTTTTCTCCTCCTCCAGCAACTTTGACACTTCCAAATAAGAGGGGCGTTGCTGCCGTTCCCCGTCAAGTTTACGCAGGAACACACATACGGGCCCCACTGGCTGCGAAAAAGCCTCCAAGGCGGCTGAATGGGTATAAAAGGAGAGGCTTCCCCCGGGCTTCTCCATCCATCTGGAAAAATGCTTGCTTTGTTCCTCGCCGCCCCAGCGCTTGCCGCCGCTCCTTACAGGAGAGCCAACTACGACGAGGAGTACTCCTCCATCGTGGCCCAGATGGGCACCTTCTCTGGTGGAGGAGGTTACGATAACACCGACCTCAGCTACCTCACGCAAGACGGAGATGCCATCTACCAGTCCGTCTTGAACGAGTGGTCCGACAGCAGCTTCTACATCCCCACGGGCGCCGCTGCCTCGTCCGCTTTGGCTGCTGCCCTGAGCATCTTGGGCAACTCTGACCTTATGCAATCGTACGGAGATTACTCGTCTTTGGCCGACTTCTCCACCTTGGGCTTGGGCACCGAGTCGGACACTTACGGTGTCACTGAGGCCGAGAGCGGCTCTGCTGGCACCGCCACTGCCAGCGGTTCCAGAGGTGGTTCCGGTGGTTCTGGTTCTGGTTCTGGTGGTGCTTCCGAAACCGGCTCTAGAGGCGGTTCTGGTGGCTCTGGTGGCTCTGACGCCTCCGGTTCCGGCTCCGGTTCCGGCTCTGCCACTCGTACTGGTGGTGGATCTGGCGGTTCCGGTTCTGGCTCGGACTCTGCTTCTGGTTCTGGCTCTGGTACCAGATCCGGCTCTGCTGCTGGAAACACCTCTGGTTCCTCCTCCGGCTCCGGTGGCTCTGGCTCTGGTTCCAAATCGGGTTCTACCGGAAACGGTGCCTCTGCTCCATACTTTGGTGCTGGTGGTCTCGTTGCCGTTGCCGCTATCGCTTTGCTTTAGAGCGTCTTAATAACGTATGAAAATAAACACTGTATGATTCAGCGATGTAGGGCGTGGTGACCCATTTCTGATTTTGATTGCTTTTTGGAAGAATTGATGAGTCTTCATCATCGAGCTTGAGAAGTTCCTTCAGGTGGTTTTCGCAGCCATCCAAAGTCAATAGAAGTGTTGATTATTTTAGGTTACAGCAAGCCATTGATTTCACAAATGACTCTTTTTATGTACGGTGCAAGCAAAGCATGTCAAATCACGTCTTATCTTCTCGGCATCTACGAGAAATTGACGAGTCCTTGTAGGCCATGTATAAGTCATCAGCTCCTCAAAGAGATCCTCACAATGGCAGTCATATCTCTTTGAATTCCCACTAGTTAAAATATCTTTGGCTCTCCATTGTCAAGAAAGCGAAAGTCTACCTGCCAATTGACATGAATTTACTTTTGACTAGTCCAGCATCTGGCATGATGCTCACAAATTAACCGGGTAGACAGATTATATTGAAATATATATTATAAAATACAAGTTTTTATTGACTTTAGGCTACTTTTGATCGGAAACTCTTCTCAACGGGAAACTCAAATTGGTAATTACTGTCTCGTGAATATTGAAACGGCACACGGCCATGCCTTGGGTGACCTAAGGTTGCAGAACATGGAGAACATACAAAGACAATCGGGCTGTACGTCATTCAATAGAAATTCCACACACTCCAATCCATGCACGGCAAGGTAATTATTCATGAATGGCAACACATCAAGGTCCATGAAAGATGGTTCCATTGATGGAAGGCAGCTTGCATGATCTCAATCCTCTAAAGCTCTCATGCCTTCAAAAAGAATCCATTTCATTGAAGCTTCCCTCCACCTCCCAAAATGTCTTTTCCTCTCATCGGCACTTTGCTCAATACTCACCATTTATTATTATCAGCCGCTGCTTACCTTGTTAGGCATCGCTACCAGAATATAAATGCATAGAAATCCTCAAACCTCTTACAACCAACATCCCCAATGACCTATCTCGAAAGAATTGGCCTTGTTCTCTTGTTTTTAGGGCTTCTGGGCGAAATTGCAAGAATACTCAAATGGTATTTGCGAGAACCCACCATAGAGGAGGTGAAGTCTGATTTGATTTATTGCAAACACGGAGACAATTTCAATACCTGCCGTCGTTGCCCCGGTTTCACAAAATGGGCCGTCTACACATTACTCCATTTATCAGCTGTGGCGTATTTCTGGTATATCCGTCGAGACCTCGGTCCAGTGTATGACTTATACCTGCTAAGCAAGATCATCATAGGCCATCTTGTGATGCTTACTTTAACAGTACAAGCACATCGCTGGAACTTCAAATTTTGCTACAACAGAACGTCCTTCAGATATTGTATCGTTTTAGAGAAAGCGCTTCTTTGGGTGGTGGCCATTGGTACTATGTCCAATTGCATCTTTTTGACCTTACGTTTCAACGTGCTCTATGCTATTGATCTTTTGGTACCGACAATGCATTTTCTTGTGGTTGCCACCAACATACAATTAAAACGTTATTTCAGCCATGATGACCCAAGGATTCATAGTCAGGTGTGAACTGGTTCGTGGGGTAGAGATAAGGCGCAAGGGTATGTGGAAGCATTTTTCCGAAGGATAATCGGAACTGTGCCTTATCCAATAAATTCCCGTTTTGGGTATAGATAGAAGAATGAACAGCTCGAGGGGACATTTCCACCGTTGGTTGCTTCATTCCGGTGGGTTAGCCTGTCTGTGTATGTTTCTTAGTAGCATTTGAGACATGTGCCATTCCATCCACCACCCACAGAAACATCAATAGAGCACCACCCTCAGAAACATCAATAGAGCAATATCTACAATTCCATCTCTCTGAAGAAAACTCCATCTCTCTCAATAATGCCACCACCTAGAGTAGTGCCATTGTGGAAGCTTCTAGACAAAGCAGCAAACGGTACCTTACAAACACATCCACCTGAGGGGAACCCCAACCAAGTGACATTTCCAAACAAAGAAGCACAATCATCAAACAAGCGACAACTCGAAACACGCTCTCTAGCCGACTTCACGGGCTGCAGAGTCGGTAAGCTGTCAAAACTGCATTCTGACTTCCCCTCTGTTCCCTCACAATGGTGGGCCAAGGATCCGAAAAAAGAAAATGTGGATGGAATGGCGAAGCTGACGATCGCTGAAGCATTATCATGTGGCCTGATGTGAGACACCCTCGGGGTGGGATGGGTATTTCCCCTGAAAAAGCTTATTTTCTGTGGCCAATGAAAAGACAGATTTTCGGATTTTTCCTGCTTCCTCTCAATTTGGCGCTGGCTGCACGGTTGCACGAAAAGCCATGAATGCTCATTCCTTGACATTCTGAGGTTTGCAGCCACATGCACGGCCCCACCTAGCAAGAATCCGAAGCACAAAGTGCCCTACAAATCAGAAAAAGGGTGGCAGTGGCAAAAATGCCACAAAGGGAAAAACATTATTTTTAGCTGCCATTTGCCCAGGCGTCGTTGCTTTTTCAGTGTTGGTCTGGTCCATATGCCATTTGGCTGGTCCATAAATAGCACTCGCAGGGCGCCAAAATCACGATCATTGACGGCAAAGCCACGAGGAAACCACAACTCGTCCCGGCCGGGACAAGAAAAAAATCACAATACAAAAGACACCCTGCCAACAATGGAAAAAACGTGTAAAAAAAACAGACGCCAGCTTTCAGCAAATCACAATGGGCACAGTGCCTCTTTCTCTTTCTTGGTTCCCAGATGCAACGAGGCGCGAGCCATTTGCCCTAACAGACGAAAAATTCCAAATCGGGATCGAGCATAACACCTCCACAGCCGAGCCACCAGGCGTGGCAGCCACGCCCATTTCACAAAAAAGCCCAGGGAACAAATCGTCAATTGCAGTGCTGTTGTAGAGAAGAAAAGAGTAGTACAAAATATTTTTTTTTCTCCTCTCCTCATTAACCCTTTTTCCACTCGACGCACAAGACATGTTCGGTGAGATTGGCCGCCGCGCTTCCCCACCGCAGTATATAAAGCGCAGCGATTTCCCACTTTTTCGTATTCCTCAGCTGACCTTTCGTAATGCAACAAAAACTCGTTTTCCTTTCTTGTGTCGCCGCTGCCCTCGCCGCCTCCAACACTCCTGACGTCCTTGGCGCCGCCGAGACCTCTTACACCGGCACCTTGGCCCTGGCCTACTACTCGGCTCTTAACTCGTTCTACGGTCAGCCTTCTGTCGCTGCTGCCTTGTCTGCCGCCGAGACCATTGCCTCTGAGAACACCGAGGCTTACAACTCGTGGATTGCCTCGTTCTACGGCACCTACAACGCCCAGCTCCAGAGCATTGCCTCTGAGCACGCTGACGTCTTCACCCAGAACGGTCTTGAAACCGGCGCTGTCTCTGTCCCAACCGACAACGACGCTGCCCTTTCCGGCTTGTTGGGTTCTGCCACCGCTGGCGGCTCGGCCTCTAACGCTGTGTCCAGCATTGCATCTGCCGGCCTGAAGGCCACTGACTCTGCTTCTGGCTCCGGCTCTGGCTCTGCTTCTGGTTCTGGTGCTGCTTCTGGTTCCGGCTCTGGTTCTGGTTCCGGCTCCGGCTCTGCCTCCAAGACCTCCGGCTCTGGCTCTGCCTCCGGTTCTGGTTCTGGCTCCGGCTCCGGCTCTGCTTCCAAGACCTCTGGTTCCGGTTCCGCTTCTGGCTCTGGTTCTGCCTCGGGCTCTGGCTCCAACTCGGCCTCCAACTCTGGCTCCAACTCTGGCTCGAGCTCTTCTACTGACAATGCCGGTGCCCGTTCCGGCTCCTACATGGCCGCTGGCGGTGTTGCTGGTGTCGTTGCCCTTGCCTTGTTGTAAGCATGAACAAAAGTAATAATACAGTTTAATTGAGAATTTGGTGTAGAATGTAGCGCCTCGTGCCTAAGCCTCGCAGTTACGACTACCGAGAGTTGTACGAGAGAAAGCCTACGTCGGCTTGAAGGCCCCTGTTTCAGATGAAATCGAGATTAGGCCAAGATTATTGCGATCGGTAGTACTACCGTTGATGCCGTGCAGATCCCACAAGAGCTTCCGGTTAATCTTCATTCGTTATTTCATTGTCTGTAGGGATCGAAACGATCCTCCTGGTCTATGGGTCGGTCATGGGTTGGATCCAGTCACCATGGTGATGGCATCAGTCAATTCCAATAAGAAACCTCCATTCTTCCATTTGCCCAATTGCCCGTTTGCTCAATCGCTTATCTACCCGTAGAAAAGCCTTGGCATACACTGCAACTTGCTTTCATAGAGGCCCTAGTCTAGCTCCTCAAGGAAATTGGGGTTCGTCTGGAGCCTCGTCTTGAACTTATCCCACCACGCGTCGAACGCCTTCATGGGCACCTTCCCAGCAGGATCCACGAACCCACTGAGGTAATTATAGGCGTGTTTGACGATTCTGTTGGCCAAATTGGCAATATCCAGGGGTGCTTTGGGAGCCGTTTTCTTGGATGGAACCAACGCCAGGGCGCTTTTCTCCTTTTCCGCCAGCAACAACTGCTCTGCCTGCGGCGTCGGCTCAATGGAAATGCCAATGTTGATAGTGGCGTCGGGCGTGACAGCCACATCGTCGTTCATGGCATCATCGTCAGCCAAGTAGGACGTCAGCAGACCACTCGTGTTGTTCAATTTGAAGATCGCCGACGGTTTCACCGGATTAAGGCCTCCAAGAAGCTTGAAATCGCTGCTTTTGGGAAGCTGGAAATACACCAAGGCGGTGAAGTTGGGATCGGTAAACTCGGTCTGGGGAAGCAAAAACACCGCTACGTGGTTTATAGCAGCTGCGTTCTCCACCGTAAGCACATATTTCGTAGGCTCCACCTGCTGGGCCAATTGGATCGGACGCCCGGAGCACACTGCACCAAACATCTTTTTTGTTGTGTTTTGCTCGTAGGGTTTGTTGATGAAGGTGTAGTAGGGTCTTGCTAGTTACCCGCACCGAAGGTGTAGGAAAAGTGCGATGAGATTCTTTTGATTCCAACCAGTTCCAGAATCTTCGTGGTTCTGGGACTAGGACAGCTAGAAGGGGGTGCCCCGCGTCCACGGGCGCCGCCGATACTTTTGTCCCAGAGCAACGCGTTGAACATATTTTCCATCTTCGAGCCTGTTTATCGTGGCATTAGATGAATATGGAAAAGATACCTCGCGACATGTGGTGAAGAGGGAGGTTTGAGGGTTGAGGGGGTGGTGTTTATGGAGAGCTGGAGGTTTTGCTTTGAGTTCGCCATTTGTAGTTTTGTAGGTGTTGGTGGAGGTGTGTGAGACATCGATGGTTGAGGCAGTGGTAAAACAATCAACAGTGTCTTGTTTTAAACATTTTGAGATGACCTTTTCGTTGCTTTTCTTTCCTTCTTTGTCAATGCATTTGCTTTGTTGTAATCTCTGGCATTAGGCAATAGTCTTTGGCATTATGCTTGAGCATGTTAGTGGTTATGGTGTATGAGGCTCTGCAACTGAAGCCGTAACAAAAGTAAGCCTATCAGGTCGAACGATTGTCGTGAGTCATTCAATTTGTTATGATCCCAAAAGCTGCTCTTATTTGAATGTACCATTAGTGCTCTTTTTTGAATGTACCATAAGTACCACAATCCGGCTCATAGAGGGCAGTACAACCGTATAGGTGAGATCCACCTTTAATCACCACCACCACCATGAAAGTCTCAAATCACTTCAATGTTCAAGATCAGAGGTGAAAATGCACTCATCGTTCAAAATGAATCGGATCTGGAAGCTCCAAAACCACCTCAAATCCTACACCATTTGTCGCTTCAGTAGCCCCTCCAAGCCACGTCTATAACAATCCTAGCTTCCCTCTGCCTCTTCCACGACAATCCACGTCGTTGCACATCCGGCAGCCAAAAACACAACCTTCTCTTTTCCACCATACACTTCATTGAGATAGTCAAAGGTCACCTCTTCCTCTTTACCTTTCTTAGGTGGTCCACAATTACCATGTTCGCCCCAGCCCCAGGCACAAACCTTGTTGTTTTCTAGTAGAACAAGTCCGTGCTCAGATCCAACAGTATAATCAACAACCTTGGCTTCCTCGTTGAACTTGTACAACTGACCATGCAGATTGTTGCCGTGGGAGAAGATATCAATGCCGTTGTCTTTGGGAACCGTCCAGTGCACAGAGGACCACATAGCTTTTACAGAGCTGGCTTCCGTTTCAATAATCTCTGGGCTCTTGCCCAAAATCTCGATGCCTTGGGAGTTCTGTAGAACCGTTCGATCATGACCCAAGGCAGCGATTCCAGATATGTCCACCCTCTCTGGCTCCCAATACCCTGCCACAGGCTTTCCCCTATCATTTAATTTTGTCACCTGGCCCAATTGGCCCTTTCGACAGGCTCCCCAGCCATATGTTCCTTCCTCAGTCACCACCACCACATGGTTTATCGAGGACTGAACGTCCACGATCTTTCCCTTCCTCTCAAACTTCACCTCAAAGAGCTCTTCGGCAAGAACAAACTTATCTCCAAGCCCTAGTTCGCCCTTAGGCCCGTGTCCACAAGTATACACCTTATCTTCAAAGTCCACAAACACCGAGTATTCCCACCCGGCAGCCACAAAGCGCCATGATCCTGGCACCTTCGTAAACTGCTTCACGAACTCTTCCCCCTTGAAGCCACATTGGCTGTATTCATTGCCGCCAGCAGCCATGACCAGTCCGTCTTCAAAACGTATTAGTGTGTGGTTTCCACCACAAGCGAATTGTACCGGTTTAGCTCGTGGGAAATCGGCTTGAACGTGATTTAGCTGATTGCGATCTTCATCGTCTCCGAGGCCTAGTTGGAAGCTGCCGTTTGAGCCGCACGCTAGGATCTGGTAGTTTGGTTGGATGTTCATGATAGTTGGAGATGGCTGCGCACTGAAAAAGTACCCCGGATTTGGGTGGAGGTGAAGATGGAAGGGGTGTCCGGGGGTGAATTGTTGATATTGGTAGATTTATTGGACTGTTTTGGTCTTAAGGGATTTTGTTGATTTCGGCGAAAGGGGCCTTCAAAATTGGTGGGTGTCACAAGAATCAGTGGTATCTGGATAGTATGCGTACCATGTAGATACCATGTGTTTGGAGCTCAGAAGGGGGTGGTTTTGAATACGCAATAGAGTCTTATGTCGATATCGGGTGCTTTTACGATGTTGAGCGGATATCTTGGATCTCTTCTCGGAATCGCCGTTTGCTGTATCGATATATCTCGATATTTCCATCAATATCTCGACTACCGAACTTAAAATGATGATGTGTGAGGCTATAAGGCTATTTGTATCATACTAAATAACGTAAACCTTCAAATCTTCCCGTCATAAGTCAAAAGAAAAGCTACGATCACCTTCTTCCATAAAAATACGTCCTGGAGTCAATACGGTTCTACACAGCCTTACACTTCAATAGCGATACACGAGACGGCAACAAAAGGGAGTTGTCTCCCAAGCAGTATGTCCTTGAGTCACTGAGTGAGATACCTCTGTCTCACTGAATTTGACTTCATGCCTCTCGTAATCAGTGTAGCAGCTAGGGAATCCTTCCATGTACGGCTGATACAGAACCCAATGCCATAATCAACCCTTTCACCAACCCGTCATTCCCTTCCGATCTCCCTCTCCAGAAACCTTTCAAAGCTGTTACTTTTTCTCGAAATCTCAAAAAACGCCGTTTCCCCGTACTACACGTCTAAATGGTACGTCCTCCATTTATACCCAACGGCTGCAAACGGCGATACCACCAATCACCACCACACAAATTTTCAAAATCCAAAAACACCTTTTTTCAACCATTTTCAGAAAGACATCTTCTCCGTTATTATCCATAAACTCTCCATCCAAAAAACATTACCTTGCAGCGTCTCCTCCACACCCTCGGTACTGAGCCCTAACGCCTTGTGAATGGGTGCAAAACGCGAGCAACCCATCCACCGAGCCGTGGCGTTTTCAGCCTTCAACTTGGAAAATACCAAATAAAAAGGCGTTTTTCGAAAAATTCAAATCAACTTTCCCCCAAATCCTCCTTCTCAGGGCACCTCGTCCACCCCGCCCCAAGTCCTCCCACCCCATTCCCTCCACCTCTTCGTGGATCAACGCGAAGTGAGAAAAACTTCACAACACCACTGATGACGGCAGAACAGACCCCCAACAAAGCGACCATTCAGGTGCCGCTGCTGCTGCCCATCAACGTGAAACTGCTGCCGGAAAAACACGAAAAACCCATGCCCTCCCACGCCACAAGGGCCCCCGATGCCCATACCCTCGAGATGAAGAATCGCTTCTACTCCCACAAGTTCTGGCCCATCCTCTCCAAGCGGTTCTACTACCTCCAGGAGATCGAGATCTTCAAGGGCATGGTCAGAGGAAAGGGCAACCTACGAGACATTTCGCTGTGGCTCGCTGCCAATATAGACTTACCGGCCCGTTTGGCCCAGCATGATAGAGAGATAGAAGAGAGGCGGAAAGCCGAGGAGGAGAAGAAGGAGATACCTGTGGAAATGGCCCACCAGTCGCCCGTTTTGGAACACAAGGGCTACGAGGAAGAGGACGCCTCGCCGGTGAAAAGAGGCACGGCAAGGCAGAAGAGACCTCAACTCACCGAGGTCAAGCCAGATATCTCCAGCACCAAGATCGAGCTTCAGAAACCCAAGGTGTCGATTTTGGAGAAGTACAGGCAGACCCAGGCGCCCGCCCAGCAGCCGCGTATCGACTACTTGTTCCAGAAATCGTTTGGTCTGGCGCCTCAGAAACGAAGAAGGCTTGTGCGGGCCGATAACGCTGAACTTTCGGCTTCTTCCGCCGAACTGACGCCTGGTCCTTCTTTGAAGCCCGGCGCCTTGACGGCTGCCTTTAGCCACAACGAAGATGTGCCCAGACTCAAGCCTTCCTTCGAGAATGGCCATGATTTGGACGAACTAGAGCAGAAGATTAGAGAAAACAGGAAAAAGAGCAAACAGGCGGTTGTGGTGGACAGCGACGCCGATCTCGAGGAGGAAGAGGACTACAGTGACGATATGTCGCAGGAGGACAACGACAGTGCCTTCAACTCTGGTCTCACCTCCATCGACGGTCAGATCTTGGAGTTTCTTAATAATGCGCCGCAGGAGGATATTATTGAAATTTGTAATATCCAGCCCAAGATCGCCGAGCTCTTGATTTCCAAAAGACCGTACCATTCGATTTACCAGATATCCGAGGACCGTTTTGACGAAGCCACGCCAGAGCCAGAAACCAAGGTCAGAAGACGTGGTGGTCAGAGAAAGGCCACGGGGCTCAAGATCGTGGAGAGCACAGAGTTCAGTCTTAAGGGCTACAAGGCCGTGGACTCGTTGATCAAAAAGTGTTCTGATTACGGAAACTTGATTTCCCGCCAAATGGACAGATGGGGTGTCAAGGTTACCGGTGAAGGTGAACTCAGCATGGTTGAGCTTTCTGGTGAAACCAAGGACGAAGAAGACGACGATGTTGGGGCCAAGGGCCGCAGCATGCCATACATCAAGCATAAGCCTACGCTTCTTGCCGAGGAAGTGGAGCTCAAGACATATCAGCAAGTCGGCATCAACTGGCTCAACTTGCTTTATCAAAATAGACTTTCGTGCATTCTCGCCGATGAGATGGGTTTGGGAAAGACCTGTCAAGTTATTGCATTCATGGCTCATTTGAAGGCCACCTCCGAGAAAGGCAGCGCCCATCTTGTGGTGGTGCCTTCATCGACATTGGAAAACTGGCTTCGTGAGTTCCACAAGTTCTGTCCATCCTTGGTTGTCCAGGCGTACTACGGATCCCAAGCTGAACGTGAAGATTTGCGTTACGAGCTTGCTGAATCCGAATACGATGTCTTGGTCACAACGTACAATTTGGCCACCGGCTCGCCGCCAGATTTCAAGTTCTTGAAGAACCACAAGTTTGATATGATTGTTTACGACGAGGGTCACATGTTGAAGAACTCCAGCAGTGAAAGATACAACAAGCTCATGAGACTCAAGGCTAACTATAGGTTGCTTCTTACGGGTACTCCGTTGCAGAATAACTTGAAGGAGCTTGTTTCTCTTTTGGCTTTCATGCTTCCCAACTTGTTTGTTGAAAAGAGGGAAGACTTGCAAGGTCTCTTCAACAAGAAAGCCAGTGTGGATGCCACTTCTGACGACTACAACCCACTTATGTCTCAGCAGGCCATCAACAAGGCGAAGACAATGATGACTCCGTTTGTTTTGAGAAGAAAGAAGGCCCAGGTGCTCAAGTACCTTCCAGGAAAGAGTCATGAGGTTGTCAAGTGTCCATTGACGCCTGTGCAAAGAGAGATTTATGACAGTTTTATTCGCCAGGGTAAGGAGGCCAGAGCCGAAAGAGAGAGAAGAAAGAAGCTCACAGGCAAAGAGGCTGATGCCGCTAGATCGAGTCCAACGGCATCTTCTTCGAATGTTATGATGTCGTTGAGAAAGGCATCCATGCATCCTCTTTTATTCAGAAGACAATACAAAGACGAGATGTTGGAGGAGATGGCTACGAAAATCATGAAGGAGCCCGAGTATGTTGCCGCTAACAAGGACTACATTGTGGAGGATATGCTGGTAATGAGCGACTACGAGCTCAATGGTCTTTGTGAAAAATTCCCCAAATCTCTTGGCTCCTACATCCTAGAAGAGGCCAAATGGTTCGAAAGTGGTAAAGTGGCTGAACTTTTGAAGATCTTGAAGCAGGTGGTTGAGAAGAAGGAGAAGGTTCTCGTTTTCTCATTGTTCACGCAGATGCTCGATATCCTCGAGAAGATCCTAAGCTTTTCCAACATCACATTTGTTAGACTCGACGGTCAGACCAGTGTTGAAACCAGACAAGACATTATCGACCGTTTCTACGAGGACGACACCATTCCTGTCTTTTTACTTTCCACCAAAGCTGGTGGTTTCGGTATCAACTTGGTCGCTGCCAACAATGTTGTCATCTTCGACCAATCGTTCAACCCTCATGACGACAAGCAAGCCGAAGACAGGGCTCATCGTGTTGGTCAGACAAGCGAAGTGCTCGTGACCAAGCTTATCTCAGAACACACTATAGATGAGAATATTTTGATGCTTGCAGAAAACAAGCTTCAACTCGATCAATCGATCAGCAGTGAAGGTAACGAAGCTAAGATTGAGGAGAAAGCAGCTTCTATGTTTGAAAAGATCCTCTTTGGCGAGTAACGGTGACTCGGACTTTGACTCGCGACCGTTTTGGCTGCAAAAAAGAAACGCACAGCGTGATTCCGAAATCCGCCGGATGCACGGGTTTTCATCCGCAAGGCTCCATCTGCCGCTCTACATACTAAGCAGCTGACAGGATTCATTTACCACTCTTCTTACAAAACACGTTTCATATGTTTTCACGAGGTCTTAGTATGCGCCTACTGGCGCTAAGGCGCCCTGCTATTAGCAGCCAGCTAAGAAGCCTTTTCATCCAGACAGCTGAAACGCCTAATGAGAATGCGTTGAAGTTTCTTCCTTCCATGAACATCCTTAAGGAGAACGAGACCAGAGAGTTTCTTAGTGGCAGAGAGGCTGCGTGCTCGCCGCTTGCAGTAAAGCTCTTTGGTGTCGACGGCATTAAGTCCATTATGTTGGGACTGAACTTCATCACGATCGAAAAACACAGCGATGACACCGACTGGAGTCTCCTCAAACCCGAGATCTTCTCCATCTTGACCGAGTCATTGTCGAACGGATTGCCCGTGGTTAACGAAACGAACGAGCTTTCAAACGACATTGGTTTTGACGAGGAAGATGACGAAGTTGTCCTGATGATTAAAGAGCTCATCTTCACGAGAATCAGACCTGCCATCCAGGATGATGGTGGCGATATTGAATTTGCTAGCTTTGAGGAGGACACGGGAGTCGTTTACTTGAAGCTCAAGGGCGCATGTAGATCGTGTGACTCGTCTTCGGTGACGCTCAAGAACGGTATTGAGAGCATGTTACAGTACTACATTGAGGAGGTTCAAGAGGTGAGACAGATTGATGCTCCGGACGAGGAGGAGGCCGCTGCTGCTGCCGAACCGGCACCAGAGTTCCAGGCCGCTTCCATCTCGCCAGCCAGAAGAGAAGAAGCTCCACCTTCATTGTAAATAGGGCAGGATTGCATAACACGGGATCGAACGATCATGGATTAATAGAGATGTTGTAATTGGAACTATTTGTAGTCGCCTGGCGTTGCCATCAAAAGTAAACTGCTTGTCAGGTTTAACGAAGCAGAAGATGATCGTTGATAATAACCGACTTATTCAAAAGCCTGACTTAGTCTGACTTGTTGAACAGATAAACACTCAAAAACCACAGTTTCTACAAATTACCTAGCGATTACTCTTTATTAATCAGATTCACGGTCCAGCCTTTTTTATCAGTACAGATAGATTGTCCACAATTCACGACTTTTTACGTTCCCCCTTCTTCCCCTGTCTCATTGAATAATTGCTGAAGTACGGGCCCGGCCCGTTCATCATGGGCAGCGGCATCTGGTAGTAAGGGTGGTACATGTAACCCATTGGGTTTGGGAACGGAGGAGCATTAGGGTTGATCTGACCCAGTTTTTGCTTGGGCGAATGTCCGTTTTCCTCCTCTTTCATGGGCTCTGGTGCTGCCATAGGCATGTAGTACGGGTAAAAATAGTACAGTTCGGGAGGCACAAACGGCAGGGCTCCAGGAGACGGAGCAGCATTAGGCATTCGTGACTCGTTCATGTAGAAACTTGGATCGTTCATGGGCACCGAGTACCGCTTTCCGTACCCGTCAGTGTAGTAATTGTAGCTCAGGTTCAGGCTGAGAGAAGACAGGGCCAGCTTGCCGGAGCCCAGCAGATTATTGTGTTTTTGGATAGCGAAGGAAGCCTGGACAACCATGCCGGGGCCGTTGCCTAGGTTTACAACCTTATTGTTTGTGAGAATGATAGCCCTGAGGGCCATTTTGAACTCCTCGTAAAAGACAAAGCCTATGCGGCCAAGCAGCTCGTCGGACTTTTTTGAGTAGAACTGGGGCTTGATGATTTTGGCGCTTTTCACGCCGTCCACACCAAACTGGTTCCAGAACAGCGCCCAGAGATCGTCGTCGTTTTCGAAAAGCACGGGCAAGTTCTTGACGTACACGTTAGTTTCCTGGTAGTTGGAGGCCTTCATGAACTTGTTGAGGAACGCATCGTCGTGGTCTTCAGCCGCCAGCGGATCACATATTTTCATCCGAAGCAGGCCCGGCTCGTTGTGCACGTACAAGGACTCAGCGCTTTCGTAAAGATGGTGGTTGTGCTTTCTCTGTGTAATGGAGACTCTAAGGCGGGGCGTATCTAGCGGTTCCGGGTACTTGTGGGGCCCGTTGATGTCGTCCTTGATGTCGTAGACGGCGTCCTCGGAGAACTTGTCAAACTCGTCGTAGGTCAAGTCCCGGAGATAGTACAAGCAGCGGAGAATGTCCTGGTTGAGGTTGCGTTCGTGAGCAAAGCTGATGAAGCCCACTTTGCGGAAAGAGAGGCTGTCCTCGGAGCCGTGGGCCAAAGGCCAGTAGACGGACTCAATGGAGCCGAAAAGGGCGAACTTGGCCATGACGAGCTCGAGCTCGTCGAGCTTGACCTTGTTGCTGAAGAAATCGCCGAGATTCTCCACCACAAGCGTATCGTAGAGAATGGCGTCTTCAGGCACGGGCACGGCGGCGTCCGGGCACATGGCCCGTTCTCTTTTGGAGACGTAGCGGTTCACGTAGAGCGGCAACGACGGGTGGAACGGGTTGGTTGCAAGCGGGAGATTAGCCACAATGTGGTCCACGTCAAGGTAGTTTTCAAACTTCAAAATGGCCGAAACCTCCAGGTCTCCCGACGCCAGGGAAAGCGAGGACGACGAGGACGCCAGCGACGGCTGGGTGATGATATTCACGTCCTCCACCAGCGCAAACCTCGACACGCCATTGAAGAAGTCATGGAGCTTTTCTTGCAGCACCGCCAGGCGGGCCAAGTTCTTCACGAACAAGGTGCCCGGATGGGACACGAATTTGGAGTAGTCGAACGAAAGTCGCCACTTTTTCTCTAGCATGTATTCGACGGCAGCGTCAGCAGCCTGCTTATTCAGAAACGACACGTCGACCTTGTTTCCCGCCACGGCCCAGCGCCAGCGGTTTTTCGAAAGCTCCAGCTTCAACGTCTTCCACGCCGCCAGACCCGTGTTTTCCCTGTCCACCACAAGCTTCACAGGAAAGTACTCTCTTGGAAGGGCTGTGGAGTCTGAAGCCAGCAGGCCCGAAGGCGGCGGGAGATGGAAAATAAGCCTGTTGAGCGAGTCCACCAAGTCCATTGCAGAAAGCAAAAAAAAAAAAGAGAGTTACACGAAGAAGCAGTGCCCTAAGGTAGGGCCTCGAGGAGAAGCCTTACACAATGGATGAGGTCTGGCGCATACCCCAGAGCGAGAATCACAAGCACGAGGGGTCGGTCGCACCTGGAGGCTAACTTGCACCTAGGGCAGCGAAAACAATATTTGGCTCCGAGCTACCAAGACAAAGCACGCCAGGCGCCCCCACGGTGGAGGCGGGTTTTGTATGGGAGGGTTGGGAGGGGGCGGTTTTGGCGGTGGATTTTTGTCGTTCTGAAAAAATAGAGGTGGAAGGCTGTTTTTGATGGATGCTGGTGGTTCGGATTGGCTGCGATCGGCGGCGATGGGCCACCGTTTTGCAGCCGCCCAGTGCTCCAGATGCGTATGCTGCCGGGGCTAAAGCGAGGATTTGACGTCGTGGGGATGAGGGGGGCCAGCCAAAAGAGGTCTTCTGGGGCTTAATTTTTTATTTTGAAAACACCGTTTTGTTCGGATTTTCGTGGAGATGACGAATCCGCCATTTGTTTAGGGGGATTCACGCAATTGGCCGTTTTTGATGGGCCCTTGGCTGCAAAATGGCCCGTTCTGGGGTAGCCTGGACCTCGGTACAGGCCTCCGCACCGCCAGATTGGCGCGCCAGATTGGCGCCAGCCAGAGCCAGGACCCTCCGAATCTGGGGAACCCGGGGGTGATAAAAGACGGCAAAATGGCGGACTTTTTTTGAATTTCGATTTTTTTCAATATTCTTTGGATTTTGTCGTTGAGGCGGTTTCGTCGTTCGCCGGCCCCCACGCCGCCGCTGGCGCTTTTCTTGTCCTTTGTTTGCCTCGCTGCTTCATTGTTGGTGGAGGTGAGCAAGGCCCATTGGCTGGATGGTCATTTCGCCGTTGGAGGTGAGTGATGGAGGGAAGGCTAGTCGTGGAGGCAATTTTGGACTTTTAGTTCGTTTTTCATTTTCTCGTCTTTGCTTGACTCGAGCCAATTGATTGCCCATTGATAGTAGCACTCTCCAGTCTCAATCTCAACGCCATCTCCACAAACCATCCACATCCACCAACGACCCAAACCCTAAATTCTCTCAATCCACTCAATTCTAAAAACTCGTCAAACATCTTCTTTTCTGCTGCCACCTGCCCACCATTTTTTCACTCTCCATCACTACGACCTCCCCCTCGCCTGCACATCTCAACATCAACCATCACCAACTCCCAACTACTCCATGATCTCCGAGGAAGTGCCCCTCTCGTGCGGCGAATACACAGTCAGCATGATCCGTGGCGAGGCGCCCAAAAAGCCCAATATCGTCTACGTCACCGAACAGGCGCCCACTTCCATAGGCTGCTACGTTTACGCTGTTCCTGGAAGAAACGACGATGTCCATACTGCCGTGTTGCAGGCCTGTGCCGATACGCTAGTGCACGACTTGGCTCATCGGCTCGGGCGTGTTCTTGTGAAAAAGAGCGGCTGTCCTAGTTTTGTGTGTGTCAGTGGAGCCGTCAGTGAGATGGACCAGATGGAGTTGATGGGCCGTGTTGTCGCCATGGCGAAGGCGGCGTAGGGAAAAAGGTTTTGAAAGTGGTGGATTTGGAGTGATTGAATGGATATCTAAGGTGTGGGGTGTCATTCCAACCCCCTTGGCTCTCCTTCGTTGAAATCAAGTGTGGACTACTGTGTGTTATGAAGGGAAGCAAACGGCGTGAGCAGGACGGTTTTATTGCAAATGAAAAGGATTGCCAATCTTTATCAAAGGGCTATTGAAGCTGTTTTCAAATGAACGGGAATAATGGTGGGATGCGTATATGGCAAGATGTCTCCATGGCTGTTCACATCTAGGGTAAGCTACCAGTGGTCTACAACTACGCGTTTCTATTAGGACTCTTAGTTTTCTGAAATGCGTAAAGGAAAATCCTTTGGTTCACCAAAATCCGAATCAGAGTTTTAAAACTTATTCAACGTCAACTTTGCACCGTATTCTGGCCTCGTTTGATCCTCATCCATATAACCCATTACCTGGTGAGGCTCCCCGCACCTCACTATCAACACTCAGTGTCACCGTTTGTCCATCACGTCAACCGTTACGCATGCACTCAAACTCGACGAAGCTCCAGTGTGCCCTAAACCAGAAGACCCCTCAGTCTATCCATTGTGTGCTGAGGAGCCCCTGGCTTTCACATGCGGAGATCAACAATCGCAACCGACTAGTCCTATTGTCCCCCCTCACTTAGTAGGACAACAAGCACACGAAGCCGGTTTGGGGGCAGACTAAGTGAGGAGAGCTTTTGCGCTTTAGGCAACCTTCTGTGATTGTCGGACTGGATGAAGAGGTCTAGTTTTACGATGTAGCTTTGGTGTGGTGGATGGGGTGCGCTATTTAACTCCGGATCCTCGGTTGCGCGTAATAAACGGTTAGATAGATGTAAGCGAATTCGCCTGTAGTCGTTTGGAGAGTATGAATTTGGAAGGGTACCTAAAATCTGGGGTCTTCCTATTCTGTTAGATAATGGGTGCAAAAATGTCGTCGCACCGTCGACTGTCCACACCACTACCTTCAGAACCATCCGATTTTCCGTTTCAGCTAAGATCTAGTGATAGTCAGACTCAATAAAAAAACTAGAAGCATCAAATCCTCGAATTCGTCAGTTAATTGAAATCCACCGTTTGGCTATCCCTGACGCCTTGCGACATTGTCGCGTGCATAGGCGCATCTCAAAAAGATAGATCCATCTCAGCTCATCACCATGGATAATCTGGCCAAAGTAACAAAGCCAAAGGCCCAGCCTTCTAGAAAAGGCAAAAGAGCATGGAGAAGAAACATTGATGTCGAAGACATTAATGAATCCTTGGATGCCAAAAGAGACAGGGAGATTTTGCATGGTGAAGACGATCGAGATGAGTTCGTTATCGATACCAAGGGATCGACTTCCAAGGGCCCCACGGCCAAGAAACTCAAGATGACTGAGATCTTGACCAACAAATCCAAGGTGGAGCCTATTAGATCCCGTTCTGTGAAGAAGAGGGTCAGTGGTAGCAAAGTCAAGGAGTTGATGGCCTTGGGAGGAAGACTGATCACTGATGAGAAGCACCAAAAAAGACTTGAGAAGGAAGGTCTCGTCAAGGGCGCCAACGTTGACGTTTGGGGTGAAGATGACGAGGTTGCGTTGCCTGACGAGTTGAAGAAGTCTGCATATCTCTCCATTACCAAACCTTCCAAGGTTCCTAAAACAGCACAGCAGGGTCCTATTGCTCTCACGCTACACAAGTCCAAGGGGTCAGTGGAGAACGATGTTGATGCAGGCAAGTCGTACAACCCTTCGCTTGAGCTGTGGCAGGCGTTGATCGACAAGGAGTTCGATGCCGAAAGCAGTATGGAAATGCAACGCCAGGCTATGGCCGAGCACGAGAAGAGAATCCAGTTTCTTATTGAGAACATGAAGGAGGATGTTCTCGAGTCTGAAGACGAAGAGACCAAGCCTCAAGAGGAGGAGGAGGATGTTCCTGAGGAGGAGAAGTACAAGCTCTCTCTTAATGCCCCAGCCAAGTGGAAGAAGAAGACCAAGACCCAGAGAAACAAGATGGAGCGTAATGCCAAGATGCGTGAGCTTGAGACTAAGCTCCACGATCTTAGGGTTAGAATGAAGGAGCTCCAGCGTTTGGAGGATATCGAGAAGGAAGTGGAGACCAAGCAGGAGGCTTCCAAGAACAAGGCGCCCAAGCAGAAGAAGCACAGACGTCACGGAAGAAACGAGGTGATTTTCAAGCCTCTTGAGGTGAAGCTTTCCGATGAGTTGAGCGGAAACTTGAAGAACGTCAAGCCTGAGGGTAACCCATTCTACGACCAGATGCATAGACTCCAAGCCAGCGGCAAGATCGAGGCTTTGGGTCTCAGAAGAAAGAGACGTTATGCTCCCAAGATTGTTGAGAAGCACAGTTACAGGCATTACAAGTGAGGGTGCTTATCTGTTTAGCATTAAAGCGTCATTGTTTGCATTGGAAAGGAACGTTTCGGTTTGGCTGGGTAGTAAGGGGATTATCAGTGTATGGCCAATAATTCAGTGTCTTTTGTTGCTACATTTTTGGTGCCTTGTTAAAAGGTTTTGATGGTCCACCCGAGCTAGCCTCAACTCAACCATTCTACATACTTCAGCTTACGCTGCAGCCTACGCCGGCGACCGCCGACTTGCCCAGCCGTGTACACTAGAATAGACTACAATTCACAAGTCCCGTATAGATGTATATTATGCGATGTTTAACTGAAGTCCCAGGCACCAGAGACGTAACCTCTGTACATTCTCTCTCTGAAAGTGAAGAACTGGTCCTTGTATGGGGTCCAGTAGGTCTGCTCAATGATGTGGGAAGTCTTGAAGTGTTCCGGAGCAACAGCATCACTGGTCTGGCCTCGCTTTGTGCCCGTTAAAAGAAAGTCTCTGGACATCATTTTCTCGTCCCAGGCATCCAAGTCCCAACGGTCGTTTTTCCAACCGTTGTCCCAGTATCTAATAAAACCGACACCGTGGCCGGCCAAGCCAAAGAACGCCGTCATGATGGCGTATGGCAACAAGCCTTCAAAAGGAACTGGCATGTTTCTAAGTGATAGGTTCAGTTGGTTCTGGTAATGAGGAAAGTTCCTGTGGTGATTGGCTGCGAGGTCGTGTGGCGCACAGAAACGGTTGCAAATGGCGGATGATATGGAAGATGGAATGGAGATATATGTTGTAGATTTTGATATTTTTGATTTTGAAACAGAAGTTAGGAATTATGAGTTGAATGAATGGTGTTCAGCAGTTTGATAAAGTTAGGTTCATGTTGACAGGTATGGTAGACATAGGTGCACCTAGGCAATAACAAGAACCCATAATGAAAATCAACTTTCTCTTTTTTTAAAGAAGCCAATAACTACAATGTTGCTAACTTGCTCTTTTCTTCATTCAAGAATTTCCATTCAAGAATCTAAAGATTGATGCTAGCAACGATGCATTACAAGTACCCATGCCATACCACCATAAAGTATGTGCTCGACAACTACGGCTACATTATAATCCTATCCCAGGATAGCCTACACTTCCTTTTCATCGCTTGCCAAGAGAACCCTGTTTTCGTATAAACGTTCCTCGTCATTACTCGTGTATGCCCTGCCGGAGCGGCACCATGTCATTAATCCAATTCATCCCCCCAAAGACGCTTCACAAACCTGTCCATGTTCACCTTGATCTGCAGCTGCCCCACCACCCATGGATGCTTGAGCATCTGCAGAGGCGATGGTCGCTGCTCGGGGTCTTTCCGGAGACAGTAGTCTATAAAGTTCTTGAAGGAGTCCGACCAGAATATCTCCTCCTCCACAACATCCTCTAAATGCGGTTCGTACTCCAATATCAACGAAAGGAGCTCGATGGGTCCAAGAGATGACTCGCTCTCGATATGGTAAGGAAAGCGACCCAGCGCTACTTCCAAGAGGGTGAGTCCAAGCGACCAGACGTCGCATGAGACCGTGTATGGCTTGCCCATGATTCTTTCTGGGGCCATGTAGTATTGTGTTCCCACAAAAGTGTTTGCGAGGGAGTTGACCACCTCGCCAGACACGCCGAAATCACAGATCTTCACGTTGCCATGCTTGTCGAGGAGGATATTCAGCGGCTTGATGTCACGGTGGATGATGCGCTGCTTGTGTAAATAATTAAGGCCGCTGAGCACAGATTCGGCGATTTTTCCCAAAACTTTCTCGTTGATCCGGTTCAGCAGATCTATCTCGATGACTCGGCGGTAGATGGCGTCCAACGACCGACCGCCCATATACTCCATGGCAATGCCAATCATCAGCTGCTCCTCTACCATGAAAGTGCCGTAGTATTTGACGATGTTGGGCGACGAACACAGTCTGTTGTACTGGAGCTCACGGATGATCTGTTTCTGCACATCCGGATTCGGATCGGCATTGATGAGTTTAAGGGCAAAAAGCGGGCTCCCACCTCGAAGCAGGCATTTGGAGACGCTTCCACCGTTACCCTCGCCAAGTTTGGCGAGTTCTGTGATCTGCTGCGTGTTGGCCAATCGGTTCCAGTCCTCTGGCGTGAGATCGTCTATGTTTTTTGACTTCGGCCTCTGGAGGCCATGCGGTTGTTGGTTCTGAGGAATACGCTGTTGATTTGTGTGGTTCTTGACAGCCTCGCTGATCCGAGCTGTCAGGTTGACGTTGGTGGTGATGCTCGATGGCAAGCCGTGGTGATCTGGTGAGTCACTCAGAGGGCTGAAGGAGTGGGAGCCGTCGATCTTGGAAAAATCGATTGGTGGCGGCTTTCGACGAGGCCCCAGCTTCTTGGTCGGTATATTCGGCAACGGAGCCTCACCGTGCTGGTGGCCCTGGGGTAACTCCTTGGGGTTCATAGAAACCGGGGAAGGTATCAGAAGCAGCGGCGGCTGTTTGCCATTGCTACTACTGGGAGGTATGTTAAATAAAGGGCTCCTGTTCGACATGCTGAAGAGGACTCAGCGGTGGAAGAACTGAGGAATGTGTCAGGCTCACCAGAATTCTTTACTTGGCCCAAGTAAAATTTCGCGTTCTTCCCCTGTCCTGCACCACTCAGGTCTGGAGGGACTAAGGCAACGACACATACGGAGTTAGCAGCAGGGGTGCAGTGGCTAGAAAGTACTCCATTTGAGGCAATTCGGCAACCCTTTCAATTTTCTGAAAAAATCCACGTTTTCCAGTCCAGCCGAGGCTATCTTCTGCGTGCTCGCATGATTGGCAGGGATGCATCGGAGGTATGTTATGCCAGGCTGCCTGATTCAAACGCCCACAGCAAATCGCCTTGACAGAAGGTCATCCGGCCCATTGACAAATTTTTTTGTTTGCGTGAGGCTAGCATTCTTGGTAAATGGCGTCAAGCGTAGCAATCGAAATAACAATGGAGCCTCGCTGACAGGTCTGGGCGCAATGCGGCTTCGAGGCTGTACTAGCACATCGCCAGATTAGATACTCACCAGCCGGCAACGGGATAGCAACAGCAGACCAACCCTGGATTCATAAAGCCGATAACCACAGTATTCAAGAAAAAATGATATAAAAAAACAACGCGGACTGGGAAAGCACCTCCTCTTATTTCTTCTTCTGCTTTTTGGCGCCTTTGGCTGCCTGCGGCTTAGCCCGCTTTCTCGGCTTCACCTCCTTGATAAGCTTGTCTTTCTTGTCGATGCCCTCGCTTTCCACAACCTCCTCTTCGTCTTCCTTCATAGTATCGTCCTCGACCACATCCTCAAAGTCAGCCTTCTGTTTACGAGGTTGGCCCTTTGTCAGGTCACCTGTCTTGTAGATGGCCACAGGATGCTGCGCAGCATTGTACTTTCTGGTAAAGGCTGACTTGACCTTTGTTGGCAAAGCGGCTACTTCCTTGGCTGCCTTGGTCTTGAGACCGAAATCGAAAACACTGTCGAAGTCGCTCCTGGACATGTAGTAGTAGTCCATCGTCTCCATCACCTCGCTGATGCCTTCTTCGCTATGTTCCACCAAGGGCTTAGAAAGACGCTCTTCAAAAGCTGGCAAGTAGTCAAGACGAAGCTCGTCCTTGCTTGTGGATGTACGTAAACGGGTGTGGTAGTGCAACTCTTGGAGAAGACGCTGGGCCTTCATGGTGGAAGAGTTTTTGCCCAACCAGCCAGCGAACTGAGCCAGACCAACGAAGGACCCTCTTACTTTGTCAGCAGGCATAACGGAAGACATGACTGCGTGGAATGGAAGTAAACTCCACTGCTGTTCACTTGAGCGGATCAAACTGTTGATGCGGTCTGACTCACTAATGCTGTCTGCAGCTTCAGCGACACGTTCCAAACGCTCTTTTGGAGATACCGGAGGGTTGGCGTTGAGGTAGTTCTCCTGGATCATCAATGGAGTGAAGTCAATGTCGTTGAAATACAAATCAATTTTATCGTTGAGCGACTTGCGTTGACCACCGCCAAGAAGCTCCATGGTGATAGCAAATGGTTTGAGAGCTGTGTGTTTCTTCCAACTGTTTGCGATCTCTTGAGAGTTTCCACGGTTAATCTGCTTCTGCGTCTTAGAGACAGTAGACAACAAATTGATCATTTGACGAATATCGTTACCGGTGGCCTGTACCAATTGTCCAATCACACTGGGCTCCAATTTGACACCCTCTCTCAAGGCAATTGTCATCAACCTAGATCTGACCTCAGTTTCGCTAGGTCTGACGAAATTCAAGCTGAAAGCCGTGCTGTCGAATGTTCTCATTTTCGGAAGTGTCTTGTCGTTGCAAATCAATATGATCGGCATCTTGGTGATACGACAGAAGGCCGATAAAGCACCAGCACCACCGTGGTCTCCACTGGACATACCATCAACCTCGTCCATGATAAGACAGAACTTCTTCTCGTTCTTGCTGTGCACATCGGCGTCTCTGCCTTTGAAGAAACCCACGACAGATGTGTTGGAAAGAACGTTTTTTATTGTCTGATTAAGCATAGACTTGGATCTGACGTCAGAAGCGTTCTTCTCGAGAATGTCGTAACCGAGCTCTTTAGCAACGAGAGATGCAGCCGTAGTCTTTCCGATACCTGGTGGGCCCGAGATGAGGACAGCTCTAAGGTTGCCGCCCTCGTTCTTGGGCTTCTTGAAATCCGTCTTGAAGTTGTCGTGCCAGTTTTCCAACCACGTCTTGAGTTTAGCCACTTTACCCTTGTTGCCGCAAATTTGACCGAGATTGGTTGGTGCATATTTGACAGTCCACAACTTCTCGTTGTTGGGGATCTCTCTCTTTGGTGATGGAGGACGTCTGCCCTCTTTCTTTGCCTGCTTGGCTTGTTCAGCGGCACGAGCTTTTCTGCGCTCTTCTTCGGCCTTTTCTTTCCTCTCGGCTTCTCTGGCCTCCTCTGCGAGCTTTTCTTCCTCTTGCTCTCTCTTGAGCTTAGCAGCCTGGGCTTCTTTGCCACTGCCACCTTCTGGAGGCATTTTGCTCAAAAGCTCTATGAAGCCTTTTTCTGTGATGGCCTTGATGCCGAAGTCCTTGATCTTCTTGACCTTCGAGGGACCTGCTTCCTCGCCAATAACCACAAGACTGGTCTTTTTCAGGATACTCTTGGTGACACGGCCACCGTACTCTTTCGCCACAGACTCGGCTGCGTCTCTATCAAGATTAGGCAAGACACCGGTAAAGACGATGGTCAAACCACCCAAACAGTTAGGTGCTGCTTCTGGAAGCTGGACGTTGCCGCTAGGTGCAGCCACGTTCTGCTGCTTGCTCTTCAATTGGAAGTAGTTCATCTTTTCTCCAGAGTCACCGCTTTCAGGCAATGGTGCATCTTCAATCAGGGCCAAGATCTTAGCGGTATCTATATCGGAATCTTCAGAAGCCTCTGTTTTGGCCTTTGGTTTGGCAGCAGCTTTCTTGGGAGCCTCTCTCTTCTTTACAGGTTTAGGCTCAGGCTCGATCTCCTGGATGCTAAGGTCATTATCCTCCTCTTCGGCTTCCTCTTCCTCCTTCATGTCGTCAAAGTCGCCGCCGTCAAAATCGTCATCTTCCTCCTCATCTCCGTCAGGTTTGAAATCGTCCTCGGAGTCGGAGGCGTCTGAATCAAGGTTTACGTATGTCGGTTTGGCCTTTTTCCTAGGAGTGGCCTTTTTGGGAGATGCCTTTGGAGTTTCCTTCTTCTTTGGCGAAGCTTTGGGTGTTTCCTGTTTCACCTTCTTTGGAGACGCCTTAGGGCTCTTTTTCTCCTCAAAGAACTTGCTCTTCCCCTCGTCCTCTGTCTTGCTTCTCTTCTGTGCCTCGTCAGGGGACTGGCTTTTTGGAGCCGGTCTTTTTTTCGGAGCCTGGTTGTTAGTATAGCTTCAAAATACACAGAATCAGCTGCAATTGACATACGCCTGGCTTCTTGTCACCTCCGAAGAACTGACGAATGTCCACCATGTTCTGGAAAGTAGTACGCGCTTGATATCTTTTCGCGCACCTGAAGACATCAAGAGGTTGATACGAGGAGGGTGGTGATTTGGGGAATTTTCTTAAGGTGAATATGTTTTTCTTTCGGTTTTTTGCTTTTTGGGTATTTTCGAAGTATTCTTCATATTCATTTCAATTCAATTGCTGGTTTCTGCTATTAGGCACATATGGTACCCTGAGATGCACCATGGAAGTATGATGATGGCCAGGACATTGCATTCTATTCTTTCAAACATTCGATCTACTGTCGTATTTCCTCTACTATAGTAATAGTTCTTTTGAAAACGTGGTTTCGTTTTGGTGACAATTCATCTCGGTAGCTGGCCTTATGGTTCAATTGCTGAACTGGTCATTCTGGCACCTTACATCTCGAACCATTCCATATTTGTGAAGTTTTACGCTTCAATTGGAGAATCCTCGATAAACCCTTACAAAATCTATTGAAATTCCAACAAGCACCTATTTATTTTGTGGTTTTTCAATTCTAATATTTCCAATCTTTGAGCTTCCCATGTAATTTACAGAATTTTGCAACCATTTTGCCAATTATGCGAATCACTCAAAAACACAATATACCACTACAACCTCCCCAATTGCTTCCGCTATGCATTACTTATTTACCCGAGTTCCCCTTGGTCGATTCCTTCTCCAAGAAATCCGTCCATAGGGACACAAAGTTCCTCGTCCTGCTCTCTCCTTCCTTGTTCTTGTGAGAGCCGCTGGAAAGCCCAGCTTGCACCTTACGGTGCTCGTCCCATTCTAGAAGAACACTGATAAGCTGCAATGCCTCAAACTTCTTGGCGTCGCCTCGTGGGATCTGAAGGAAATTGAGAATCACGTTGGAGATGAGCTCTCTGTCTATAGTGTTGTCGTCGTTGTTCAGCTGCTGCTTAAGCATGCCAAGCGACTTGGTGAGGTGCTCGTTGAGAATGATCGCCTCATGCCTGAGTTTGCCGATGATGATTGATTTGCTGTGGATCTCTTCTTTGAGGGTCAGCACCTCCGACGCCTCGGTGGTGGCCAGTTGTAACTCTTTCTTCGTCTGGTCTAGCTGCTCCTGTAGCTTTTCATTTGCAGCCTTTTCCGTGTCTGTTGCGTTCTTATGCTTTTCAACTTCCTTCTTGAGCTCTGTCACTTCCGCTCGGAGGGCCTCCTCCGTCTTCTCATTATCGGCCTTCAATTCCTCCACTCTCTTGTCGTTTTTTTGAATGTCCTCCTCCTTGTCAGCGAGCTTTGTTTTCAACTCGTCGATGATCGAACGGAGGTTTCTGTTCTCCATATCGAGCTCTTCCTTGGCCAACTTGAGCTCGGAATACTCCGATTTCTGCCCAGACGCCGACTTTTGCGCCAGCCTGAGCTCCATTTCTAGACGGTACTTCTCGTCCTGGAGCTCCTGGTCCTTGGCCTGTAGCTCTCTTCGTAAATCGCTATCCTGAG